TAATTTTATTTATCACAAATAATTTGTTTTTTTTGTCAAGTTGTAAGTGTTTTCTTAATGAACAAATTTGTAATTTTTGACCAGAGCACACTGAAAAAAAAAATACAGTGACTTTGATTGATTTTTATTTATTTATTAATGTTTTTTGTTAACGATTTCCAACCAAATATTTGATATAATAGTAAAAAAAAAAATATATAGAAGTTAATCTATATGATTTAGTAGTGTGCATACCTTATCAGAGATATAAATATTAATATTATTAGGATTGATAAGCTACAATATATACTCATACAAATGAATTTTTTTTAAGTAAATTCATCTTTTAGTTTTATCTCTTTTCTTTCTTTCTCACTTCGATATGATGATAAAAGAACTTTTTTTCTTATTACATATATAACCCAAAAGTTTCATATAAGTAATTTATTAGTGTTGTTCACGCGCCGACAACAATACGGTAAAGAAGTTAAACCATTCATGCCATGATATCATTAATTTGATATTATTGGTTGCAGATTTCATACGATTCAATATTCCTACCTTTTTGTTTTTGTTTTCAAAATCAATTGTTTTCTATATCACAAAAAGTGAAAAGTCTCTCATTGTTTTCATACACACTAATCTGAATTATACATTTGATGGTATACATAAAGCCATTTATTATCTATCACTGCGGTCGTCACTGTCATTATTTTCTTCAATACAAATGTTTAAATGATTCCATATGCTAAATGAGAAAGTGGAAATGGTATAAGAATTTAGACAACATAATGATACAAATTGCAATTCCCACGTTAGGCGTCTAATCAACGAGTTAAATAAAGATTTAGTGATGGGCATCAAATAGAAACTAATTCTCACGAATACTAGATTGCAAGAAGAAAAAAATGTAAAGTATATGGTAAGATGAGTTAAAAGTGCAGAAGACAGTGTTAGTCAAATGCGTAACAGATGCATCATGCATGCAACAGGTGCAGGCAATGATCCAAATATGGAAGTTGTGTTAGTCAAATATGATGTCATGAGCAACATGAATAGTTCCACGCCAAACCGTCAAAACTTTGCATAATGGCACTACTCATATTTTCAAAACTGGGAATTGGGAATTGGACATAAATCAATAAAGCTCTTCATCTTAATCAGGTAGTACCGTATTCGTAACGCAATTATAACTTTATTTTATTTTTGGGGGGAGCCCAAAGAATGTAATCATTTGAAGTTCCAAAACCTATTAACGGTGCAATGGACCTTTAAAACTGATAAACTTAGGCCCAGCTTTTATAATTTTTCTGGCTTCATATAATAGGAGAAAACTGTGGAATGTAACTTTGTACAGTAAAAAAATAGCAAAATGTTCTTCTTACAACAAAAGTACAAGAATTTCTGTTGTCTCCTTTAATTTGGGAGAGTATTTTGTGTGTATAAAACAATATGATCTATCTATATATATATAATAATAATAATGAATTAATAACACGCATTAAGATATAGATATATTTGAGTCTGGGTAGGTCCTTGATCTTTTTTGTTTATTTTTTTCTTTGCACTCACTTTCAAATTAAGAGTAATTTTGTATACTTAAACATGTATTATACTATGCATATTTGTTAATTATTATTGATTTTATTAATAATTATATTGTGGTAATTTATTGTTTTATATTGTTGAGAACTATGAGAATTTAGGAATTCTTGTGAGTTTTAGGTGGTTTTTAAGGATTTTTTAGTTTAACCCTTAGAAAAAGATACAAGTTTTATTTTAAGATTTGAGTTTCATAAGTTTATTTCTCAAAGAACTTTAGAGAGATAGTAGGGAAGGTAATTTTGGAATTATAAATGTCTCTTCCTTCTCTTTAGCCTTCTCAAGAGTGTAAAAGATTGCAATTGAGTGATAGAGTGGTGATTTGAGGCCATTAGCTAAAGATTATCATCGTGGTTGTGTTGTGAGGAGCTTTTGATGCTGGCTCAGAACCATCTTTTTCTTTCTTCCTTGTTTCTGTTCAATCTGGAGGTATAGAAAACTATAACCTTTTTAATTGTTGAATTGGTTGAGTTGCATGTTGATTGATGTCCACAAACCGTGTTTGTGTTGGATGATTTTGAGAATTTAATGTTGAGGTGAACCTTGATGTTTTGGTCAAATTAGTGGTTACATGTTGCATGCTTGGATTCTTCTTAGTTTTAGGTGCTTTGGGTCAATTTGTGAATTTGCTGAATGCATATTTCATCATCGTGTCGAACGCAATTTCAAGGCACCGACATGACATGGTTTAGAGACTTGTTGCCTCACTAACATCAAGCGTGCGATTGGTAACATTGAGCATAAGCGAGAGGAAAAGTCATTGACTTGGTCACGTCAAACAGGGGTTGAATGGCATCAACGTGATGATAGAGAAACGTTTTTGACTTGATGACGTTGGATCCAAGTTGAGTGGCGCCTAACATGACCAAGACAGAAACTCTCTATCTAGACGACGTTGAATGTGAATCAAGTAAAGACTCTTTGCTTAAAATGAGGTAGAGTGTGGGATTTGGCCATGTTAGGCATGAAAGCAACAAAGACTCTCTGTCTCATTCACGTCGAACGCGGGTTGAGTAGCTTCGAGTACGGGCGAGCCTGAAAACTCCTTGTCTCAATGGCGTTGAGCACAGGAAGATTGGCGCTAGGCGTGGACTACCTTATAAAAATGTGTTATTTTATTGATGAAATGTTCAACATGTATGTGGTAGTTGTATGTTGATATATGTTGTTGATTTTATATACATTGGTTGGGAATAATGAATATAGATTATTAAAATGTTGAATGTTGAGGTGATAGTATTGAGAATTCTTAAGGCATTAAGGTGTGTGGTGTTGATTAACTTAGGCTAGAGGAAAGGGTGTTTTAGAAAGTTGAATATCTTATTGTAAGAATATTGTTGTGATGCTCTTTGAGCTCAGTTGCTGAAAACCCTTCTCAAGTGGTCGAATTTTGAAGTGAATAGTTGAGTTTTCTCAAAGACCTTATTATTTAATGTAGTATGTAAGCAAGGTCGAGACATATTGACTATAAGTGATCACAGTATAAGGGTTAGGTTGAGTTATATTGATTAAAAGTGATCAATGTTAATCCATATGTGGGCAAGATCGAGACATACATATATAACGTGACCAAATCGAATAAGGTACAAGATTGGGGGTCAAAGTCCCAAACTAAGTATTGGAAAGGTTGTCATAGTTGGTGGGATAATTCCATAGGAGACTTAGTTATGCATGTTAGTACCGTGATAGACTCACACTGAAGTTATTTTACTTTGAGAGAAATACTAGACTTTTTTTATTTAAGTGACAAAATTCAAAAAAAATTATGTATTTATGGATTTTATCCAAATTGTTTGTTGATCTAGCAAGTATAAAAAGATCATGTTAGTTCGGTAGAGTTAAGTCACCTAAATTGCTCTTTTTTTTTGTAAGAGATCTTTGTATTTGAATACATAACGACACATGTAATTGAGGTGTTATGCATATGATGCGTTGATGTTTGGTGTTGTTCATATGCTATGTGAATTTGTTATTAAATGGGATGATTATTGGTGTAAGTTGAGATTGTTGTCTATCTTTCAAGGTTGATGAATGTCATGTTAAGATGTTGTGTTGTGTGGTTTACATGTGGATATTTGGTAGTATAATTGTTTTTATTCCTATATTTCATATGTTTATTCTTTGAATATTAACTTATACTTGCATGTTTTCTTGTGGTTGAACTATGATAATTATATTTATATAAAAGTAGGATAGTATTCGGTTGGAGACGATGTTTTTGAGGCCATGTCTAGCGATAGTTGTGGTGACCTTTTTGGACTACTATGATGCAACTAGTTTAGATGTATTATTTGACCGACAAATTATGATTATTATTTTGTAGTATTGGATGATTGTGCATAATTGTATACTTGTATAGCTATTCTACTTCTTTAATTGTTGTTTTAAAGTTTTTTACACATATTCATTATGATGCATATATCTAAATATTATTCATATATTAATGATAGGTGGTTAGTTGTTTCTTTTTGTTGTGAGTAATTAAACTATTAAGTATAGAAAGCACAACGAATCGTTATACTTGAATAATTCATCCTTCATAAATCATTGAATATCATATGTTCTTTAAATAAATTTTTCGTGCACTACTATACAAAACACATCTTAAATTGCCTCCGTAAATTGGTTAATTGTATCTTTTGTGCATGTAAAGTTGTCGATTGTTGACTTTTCCTCCTAACTTTTGAAACCTTCACTTTTCTTTCCTACATTTTTTTAAATACTCAAAATTTCATCTTTTCGTCTAACTCTGTTAAGTTATTATATAATTACATGATAATGTTTCTAACTGACATCCTAGTCGTGAGTTTTGACTTGTTATTGGACAAATCAAGTATCAGTAAATTAACATTAGATTGAAGAATGAAAGTTTAAGTTTTTAAAAATTACAACAAAAGTAAAGGTCTTAAATGCCGATATAAAAAAAAATTATCTTGGAAAACCACCATTAATACCCATAAATTTTGTTCAAATTCCTCCATGAAAGCTACATATGGAAAGCAGTTTTCCTCTTAAAAAAATGAATAGCAGTTTCTATCAATATGGATTTGAATGACACTACCGTTGCGTTAAAAAAAATTTCAAGATGCTTGTTCAAAAAAAATTCAAGATATTTGTGCTCTTCAAAAAAAAATTCAAGATGCTTGTTCATGATGGGATAATATAAAGTAAATTTTATTTATTGTTTCCAATTCTGAAATGAAGACATAATTAATCTTAATCATAAAAGAGTTCATTTTCTTCAATAAAATTATTATATATTTACTTTTTGTATACCATTTTTACTTCTTTCTCCATCATAAAACATTTTATTTTATTTTCCCTTATTATAACTCTACCAGCCAAATCTATCCAAATAGAACCATTGTTAATTTGTGGGAAAGCAGACATTGGATGAATGATTGATCATGTAGCTGGTATGAATCATGAAACAGACATTCATAGAAAAAGTAAAGGACAAGTGCACAAGTAAATCAAATATAGTACTAGTATTATTATTATTATAATATGATGATTTGACATGATAGAGAGGAGTAGGAATGGATTGATTTATGATGAGTGATCAGTTATAGTAGAGTTCGAGGCCCATGCCATCGTGAATCTCGTAGTCTTTGAGGGTGATGTGATCCTTGTAAATGGTGTACCATTTCTGAATGCGAATCTTGTCGTGTCTCGTACCTGTCTGAGCCGCCACCAGCTTCTTCAAGTCACCGATGGTGTCATCTTCATTGCACTTCACACGAACCTTCTTCCCCAGCCTATCGTTAAGCACCACTTCTATCATCTCTCCGATTCCTCACGCAATCTTCTTTCCTCTTCATTTCCTATTTAACTTCCTTCAGAACCTTCTAGTCCTGTTCTCTTATTGCCTCACCCTTATCCGCGGGCCCAAAAAATTAGAACCTTCTAGTGCATGCCATACCCCTTCGCTGGACCAAAATAGGGAACAATTGAATAACTAGTCGACAAAACACCTCCCACAAGATTCAATATGATCAGTTAATATTAGCCAAGGATACATATTGTAACAAAACGCACTTGAATGCTCTAATCATATGTTATCCATAGATCGTTCTCGGGAAGTATCTCGCGACCAAAAACATTTAACACCTTGAGATTTTAAAAGAGGTTATATTTAATTAAATTCCCTTTATCTATTCCTGGACCTTTACATCAAACTTGTCACAAATTACAATACGAGGAAAAGAATAAATTAAAATAATCGAAGTATTTATCCAACTAATTCAAAATCTTGTGATGCTGCATATTAACCAGTAGCATGTAATTTATGAACCATGGTAAAATGGTAAATAAAAAGAATTATGTCGCTACTAGATCATCCGATTCATTAACTACATTAACAAACATGCTGGTGAAACCATGGTGTTTGCAATGACTAAGCAAAATTTACAAATGCAAATACAAAAATACACATCCGCGTTGACAAAAAAAAATGTAGATATCTTGATGCACTTTCACTACACCAGTTTAGTTACGATACACAGTTTAAGCAAAGCGCCCTCGTTGCGAATTTAAAAATAAGCCCTCTAGGGAACATTTACTGAAAACCACATACCTAGAAGAAAATTATCATCAATGTTGAAATGAACCTAAAATGAAGAGCAGAATAAATTCAGAAATGGGGGAAAGCCCATAAGTCACTTACAGGAAGAGGCAAAACTTAGAATAATAAACAAGCTTAATCTCTAATAAGCGTGAACAGAAATAGGGCATAATTGAAACAAAAATATACTGTACATTAATTTGCTGCATTCGCTCCTGCGAACCAAGAATAGGGTCCACTGGTGTTGGTCTAACTTTTCATACAAACAAGCAAGATTTAGCATCATGTCCGTCACTCCAGAACAGCAACCTCCTGGTCAACCCTCCAGTAATTTGCATCATTGAATTCCTTTATTCCAGGACCCTCCTCGGAACTTTCTTTTTCTGGCACTTTAGAGACCATGTTTCTTTTCAATGGTCCTGCCTCCCCAACTATTCCTTCTTTTAGAGCCTGTTCCATAGCCTTCTCAGTACCTTCCAATTCTACACCTACAAATTCAACGTCTTCTTCAAAGAGAGATGGTACTACTACTACTGATCTTTGACTCGAGTCAACACCACCATCAATTGAATCTTTAGGAGATGGCGACCTGTTCGACGGAATAGATTCCCCATTTGAAGGAGAACTAGAATTAGGGCTACCTGTTTGAGATTTAGTAGAAAGGTTGCTACCAGAATCATCATGATCTACAAATGGATTCATGCTTCCGCTTGCATCTTGCATATCTAAAGGTTCACCCCATCCCACCCAATCAGGCAGAGGCCTGTCCCCAAACAACTCTTCATTGTCTGATGCATCGAACCTGAAGAATCCCATATCATGTGAAGTGGTTGCCTTTTTGCTTTCAAAGTTCAACGCATCTCCATTCATGGAATCACTACCAGTTATTCCATTTAAATTTGTGCTTGAGCTAGATGTACCATTCAGATTATTTTTGCTTTCATCCAATTCTTCATCTGCTCCAACCACTACTTCATCATCACTACTGTTACCACCATTAGCAGCACCATTCAAGTTTATCTCATCCATCATCTCTGGTGATGTGCCCTCAGTTCCATCCGCAATTCTGTCATCTTGGAATGCAAACCAATTGGAGTTTGTAAACAGACTACTGCAAAAAAACAAAAAACTTATATTAACATTAAAATGATGAATTAAATAAAGAAACCCCAATAGACTTCCATAAAATTCCACTGTCATCCAGACAACAGAAGTAGAAGGGGCTAGGGAGAACAAATGAAGCTTTTGAATATTTTCTAATTTTCTATAGTCAACATGAAAGCAAATACATAGATATCCACATGGGGGAACGTCAATCACTTGGTGTCCTTGTGCTATATACTTCTCACACTAATATTTACATATGGGGGAGAATAGAATAAAAATGCTTACTGACAGCCACGCCATGGAGTAGAAAACAGAAATTGAAAACAGAATATCATCGGGAGTCGAAGAAATGAAAGCACATTCTATTTCTATCATAGAATGTGAACATTTTTTAATCAAGTACAAAAATCCGAAAGGTCAGGATAAAAGAAAAAGGATGAGGATCAAGTGAAAATGAAGAAATCCCCACTAGAGGATCTATCAGCAAATCACAAAAGGCTAATAGAGTAAGTGGTTTCTCCAATATCTAGAGCATATTGCATTCTTCCATAGTTGCTTTTGAAGGAACTATAAGCAATTCACAAAGACATATAGAGCAAGTTGTTTCTCCAATATCTAGTGTATATTGTATTCTTCCATAGTAGCTTTTGAAGGATATTTCTCTTCCTAATCTGCAACTAGATCGGCTAAGGAAAGAATGGATACCATGTGGCAGAAGATAAAACATCCAGGGGTACAGGAGAACCTCGAAAGATATAAGCCAATTGAAGTATACTAGTAATGCACATCACTCGTTTTATTTGCCAAAAATACACAGATAAATATTATCTCGTTATCTCTATTCACAGTAGACATAAAACAGCTTTGAAAATAATTCACACTGCTTGATTAATCCAAGTGAAAGATTCATCCTAACAAAAGTACCATCAGTTATGTGATAATAAATAGACTCACCTCCCTTGATCATCACTGAGTCTGAGGGATGATATGACTACTTGAGCAGAGTCATCATCAAAGTAGACATCCTGTAGATCATACAACAGATATAGTTGCTATAAAATTAGTTAACAAAGTAAAAGAATACTAGATGTTTTGGTTAAAGCATAAGACAATTTGACAATATCACTCGGCAACACAAGAGCTAGACTGATTCTCAAAAATCCCCAAAATCGACCACATTAAATTATAACAGTGACAAAGTAAATAAAACTAATACCTCTTCATCTCGATCAAGGTTGCCACGTTCCTGCAGCCAAACCATTCAAAACATTAGTCCAGCATTCAAGTTGCAGTGCCCAACCACAAAAAGGCAAATCACGGAAACAAAAAAGGGGAGAGAATTCTAAAATAAATACAAATGAGCAAGTATGCATGCACAGAGGGGAAGAGAAGCCCAACAACTACAAACCTCCTCATTATCTTCATTCCCATAAATTTTATATCTAAAAGCCTGGCTCAAATTATTTGCTAAAGCTGCAACATCATAGTCTCTGTCATGAAGGTCATCATCGTCACTATCCCTCATCCTATCTTGTAAAGCAGTTGGACGTCTGCACAGGAAAAGGAAACGTAAAGAGATAAATCAAAATGAGAAAGACCCCCCAACACAACAAAGTAAACACAAATGAAACAAAAATGCCACATTGAAGATCATAATCTTCACTAGAATAATTAAAATGAAGAAAAAAGTGCATGATATAGATATTATAGTTATTTGTTACAGCCTTATCATAAAATATGTTGACAAAAACAAGACTGCTGTGTAAGGGCCTTGTCTTGTCCCCTTATAATTATATAGCCACAACCAAATCAACCCAACAGAAATTATGTTGTGGGGTACATAATAGCTTACCCGCAAGCCCAACGGTGAACATTCTCAACCACATTACGCTCCTGAAGAACTGTAGCTTGCCATTCATTCCACTCACTATTTTCCTGCAGATGTTAAACATATCAGGTTGAAGTATTTAAAGAAAAAATTGTCCCAACAATACTTCAACATGTAAGTTCAGCTTCATGCTCTTAGATGCAGGAATAATTTTTCTAACACGTTAGCTTGTTCATGATTTGACACAAAAAATATTTAAACAGAAAAATAAGAGTATAAAAACCATTCATCATAGAGGAAATGGAAGTCCAAGGAGAACAAGCCAAAATGATAACTGTTACCTTTCCCATTGAATAATGGGTACAAAACTATAGCAGTGTTCAGATGATAAACTGTTTATGCTCTATTTGGATTAAAAGTGAAATAGAGAGAAAAGAAATGGAAAGGATAGAAATAATAAATAAATAAATAAAATAGAAAAGATGTGTTTGTATAAACAATTAAATTTGATCCCAAAAATATTTTTTACTCCATTATTGTTTTCTTAACATAAAATTCTTATTTAGTATTTTAATTTTTTGTGATATAAAAGCTTAATTTTTTTTAGAAGCTAAAACTAAAAAATGAAAAAGATACCACCCCCAACCCTTTCATTTAATGTCAATTTGGGAATGTTTTTCTTGCGGGTTCCACCAAAAAAAAACTTCCTAATTCTCCTCTCCAACAAATAATGAAAATTTGGTATTTTTATCCCATTTCGTTCCTTTCCATTTCTTCCCTATCTACTTACACTCAAACAAAAATATGTTCCTCCAGAATCTACTATCTGAAGCACGCACACAAGGTCGCTGTTGCTTAAAAATGATTTAATATGTTTTAGCCCATGCAAATACATGGTTAATTTTGGTTTTAGCCTTCAAAAAAAATGTTGATTATATTATAGTCCTTATAAATTTTTAAGTTTTAAAATTGGCCATTATTACAATTTACAGTTGACATGGCATGGCATGCATCTAGACAGGCCATGCATCTAGACATCTCAAAATGGTCATTGACATGACATGTCTAAATGCATACAACATTAGTAAATAATGATAGGTACCATGTTTAAAAAATAAAAAAAATCTACATGAATAAAACCATCAAAAAATAAATTAAAGAACTAAAACAAAAATTAGTCATTTTGCAAGGATTAAAAACACATTAAACCCTGTAAAGAGATACAAAGTGAACTAGGTAGATACATCAAGAACTCAAATCCTTTATGCAAAACAATGAACTTTAGCAGAAGACTCCAAAAGCTTCTTTCAGAGAAATCTTAGAGCAAATTTACAAGCCTCTATGCAAATTTGAAAAAGATAGCAATTTAAGGCATGATTCAAATATTTTCATAGATTTATATTAACAGTAAAAAATTACTGTAAAACCTATAAACCTTTCCTAAAGCTATAAATAATTTGATATATAAAGCTAACCTGAAGATATGTCAGTATATGGCTTCGATTATGTGCCAAGTGAACAAGTTTGTTAACAATTCGAGTAATATGCCCGATGTTTCCTGCCCGTGGTGCCTGTTTTCCAGCAGCAGGTACTGTTGGCTGCAAAATAAAACATTTTAGCAAAGCAGGTAATAGACTCAACAACAGCGTATAGACTAGAAATGATCTATTATGCACTTCTTGTAGGTTCTATCACTTAGTTTATGTATGTTTCCATTTCCACTGTAATTCAATAAAACATTGAAGAAATGAAGATAACTTGATCTCAGCAATACACAGTAATGACCAAAATAAAACATCCAATATATCTGTTTAAAGCATCCATTTACCAGATTTTTGTCAGAAGAGAGAAGAGAATGTTTGTCTGCTTGGAGAAATCTTCCAATTAAATCACACTCTCGAAGAAGATGATCAACAATGGCTTCAGTTTTGCTCTCCAAACAAGATAAAATGATACTTTCTACATGATGGTGTAATGAATTATTATACGGATACCTGTATTAGCAGAGCATACTCAGACTAGTTAACAAATGGTTAGCAGTAAAGATGAGAGATAATGCTGTCTCTACACAGATTTAAAAAAAGATGTGAAGGTTTCTTTAAACATCTACATAAAAGAAAATTAATAGTTGCTTACTCAAAGAAAAGGTCAATGACTCGTTGAATGATTCCCGAATTGACCATTTCTTTTTCTGCCACTTCATTTCCAGTTTTTAGAATGACAGCAATGAACTCAACAATCTGAAATAAGTTTCAGACAGGTCAGAAAAATAAAAACATATTCAAAGTTGACAATAGTGATACCTTGCATAGGAATAGAATAAATACATAAAACAGTTTTGCAATACACAAAAAGGCAATTTTTGGAACAAGAATTCAACTTCTACTGGCCAGACTGCAACCTAGTGTAAGGAATTACTAAAGTATCCATCTTTTTTTAAGGTATCTCATCAAACATTCATCACTTGCTGATTATATTTAACAAGTTTGCCAACCTTTAGGATAAATCAACAGTCAACAAAATGAACAAATGTTTGACAATTCACCCTAGGTATGGGTACCATAGCAACTCCCCTAGAATTGAAGGGGATAGCCATAACAACTAACCTTTAATCGATGCTTCCCAAGTGGAGGTCTCAATTCTCCATATGTTGTAGGCAGTACTTTTTCATCAGATGATACATTCAAAAGTACGAGCAATTCACCTGCAGACAATAAAATCAATCTTACGGATGTGATATGGATATTGGAACAAAAACTGTCAGATTTTGCACCAAGCAAAACATAATGACAAGACAACAACATTCTTTAAACCTTCAATCATGAAATACATAAGACACAAATGACATAACTACCCACCACGACCCAAAAAACCTTGAAACTGAAGCGCACACCATCTTAACCAAAATATTTTGATATTTATTGATGACTACAAAGAATTGGGAACATTAAAAGATAAGGATAAAGTGAAAGCAAAAGGAAACATATAAACAAAACCTCGTATTTACTTGTCTATAAAAATGTAGAACTTAAAGCACAGCACATTATAACCTGTTTTATTTGTTGGTAGACCTCCAGGAATCATTTTTCTAGAAGTACTCATCTCTTTTAAATAGGCAAACTCGCTCCAGATTACAGTAATCTGATTACCCTAATATTGTTGAAAAAGCATAACTCACAAATGATCTTTATTTACCAGGACAGAGGAAGTTAAATGGTAATTATAATTAAATTTAGTACAACAAAAAAATCATAAATTAAGTCTCAAGCCAGCAAAATCCACAGCATTATGTAAATGATATAAAAGTAAAACTCCACTATACTAAATACATATTTAACCTTTCAGGAGGGCTCCTCTCACATCTGCACAACTACTGTAAACTTGGGAATTGAAATCACCTACTTGGTATTTTTTAAAATTATTAAATATCAAAATAGTCATACAACTAACTTCAAATTCAAAAGCCTATAACCTTTTTAAATATAATTTCAGCATCGTATTGTATTCCACAATATTCAGAATAACAAGTAATATAACTCAATTGAAAACCATGATAATGAGAATAACACAGCTAAAAACACATGATAATTGACTCACCGAGTTTAGGGAGCATTGCACCAATAGTGTCTGGGTTTACAGGAATCGGTGGCTCATACATGTGTTGACTTCGAAATGAATGAAAAAGGGGAGATGATATAGCAGATCTTTTGGGATCCAACAAAGAAACACACACTGAAAGTGAGTTCACAAGGCTAGACTTTGATTGTGAAACTTCCAATGCATGATCCAAAATTTTTGCAACAAAGCTGCATATATAAAAATACATATAATAATTATTCCAGAGTCATATTGATATTAGAGGAAAAATACAGTAAAACCATGCAATACAAACCTTGGGCTTGAAAGTTTAATTGCTAGAGTAGAAGAGGGATTTCGAGTTATCGTGCACAATGTTTCAGCCGCATTGGCATGAACTTCAGGAGGACTCTGGTTTAAATAGGGAAGAAAAAAAGCTGTCAGATAACTTGCAACAAAACACAAGGTAATAGAGAGCCTATAAATTCAAGCACCAAAACAAAATTTGGATACTAAATTAAGCTTTTCATCAATTACATCTTTTATGCCCCCAAAACAAATTTTGGAGGACAGACACAAAACACCACTAGCAATCATTAGGGTGGCCTATATCAAGCTTGAAGAATAGAAAATCCCCAAAATCAAAGGATGTAGCCACATTCAATCTCATTTAACACGACTGGAAGGCATAAAGCTAAGTGTATGAGCATCAGACACAGGTAACAAGTAAAAGCTGGCTAAAGGAACATAAGCTTGGAAAGATGCTTCACTCACAGATGGACTCAATTTATCAACAATCATCTCAAGCAGGTTGCTGTTGGCCAACCATTGCATCACATCTATAAAATTGTGATACACATGATCATCAGCGCCTACTAATCGAACCAAAACCTGTCAAAGAACTTATGTCAGAATCCATTTTAACACATCAGCAATATCTCAGAATCGTCATAATTACTACTGAAAATGTAAAAGGTTTTACCTCCATAATGGATGTGATTCCTATCAAATCAACCAGTTGGCGAAAAACATTCTGATGGGCCTGCAGAAATTATGCTGAATCATGAATGAAGGATTTCACAAGGAGACTATACAACATGCACACCAACTGTTGTATAGACTACAAAACTATTTACTATAGAGGTTCCAGGAATAAAAGGGAATAATGATCAATCAAGTTTTGTTTTTTCTTCCATAAAATTGTAAATATCAAATTGAACGAGCAATCTACTACTGTACTACAAAAGCACATTATTGTACTTACTTGAACATAATTCATAAGTGGCACTGTCTTTCGAATCATTAGGCAAACAACAACCTGTAAAACGGCATAGAAAACAACATCAAACAAGTCAGATAGGACACATTGAAAAAAAGACCAAGCAAACTAAAATTCCAATATTATCTAACGTATACCTTGCTAAAGTAGCCAGCCAACAAGGTACTATGTGAGCGGTTAGGCTCCAAAAAGGAGAATAATAAGTTCATCAGCTGAAATTACAAGAATGAGAAGGGAAAATCAATACAAGGTATATGGCTTGAAACTAAATATAAAGTTCACAAACAGGATGAAGTAAAAACCTCTTCGTCATCGACCAAGGTCTTCAAAATGACATCAATTTCACATGTAAAAATCTCACAGGAAATGAATGGAAACCTAAATTACAGACAAACAATCAGATGGTTACAAAATAGTTGAAACATTTAATAAAAAGTTCTTTGCAGCAAATTTTCAGTTACAGCTGCATACTTGAAGGCACGTTTACTTTCAGCATCTTCTGGTGGTTCTTCAATAATGTATCGTAACAATTGCTCAACCTGGGCTTGATCTCTCAGACTAAAAGGGAAAACGTAGCAAATTATCAATTACCTTCTGTTGAATTGTCTATATAATTGCCTATCCATCTTGTGCCTTATGTATATAGTATATACATTCACTTTAAATTATAACCAAAAATAGAAATTGGACAACACAAAAAATAAAATGAAAAATGAAACTCAAGATTTGTTAGGAGAGTGAAAAACTGAAATGATTTAAATTAAACAGACACGTACAAGTTAATAAGACGACTGTTTAAGGCCTTGCATTCTTGGATCACTTCCTCTTCATCCAGAAGCTCTTCCAAAGTGAAATTCTCCTTGTCTAATATAGCCTCCACCTGCATAACACCAGTTCAACTGTTACAAAGGAGCATAGAGAGGAAGCAATAAAATAAGCTACACGAGTATTAAGCTACTTGAGACTTTGATCGTTGATTCATTCAGCTGTCCTCTTAAAACTTTCAGTCATCAATTACAGGCCATTCAATTATAAAATTCCACTGTAAGCATGCATCATTATATAGAACTGTAAAAAGAACACTCTAGTCTTGAAAGTAAAGCAAGTGATTACAAACTGGTGACTTCAAATTCATATCGATTGAAAAGGTAAGGGAAAATATTAAACAAAGAGTTAATCACCTATACACTGTCAGTGTAAAGTTTTTTTACACTGGCAACCAATCATATCTTTTAATAGTGCCAAGTCAGTTGCTTATTTAATGAAATAAAAATAAAATAAAATATTTTAAAGATATGATTGGTTGCTAGTGTAAAAAACTTTACACTGGCAGTATATAGATGATTAACTCTTAAACAAATCATATGCTATCTTTTTTCACAAATTCGCACTAAATTGTGTTAGCTTTAACTCAAGCTCAAGTGTTTTCCATTGATTAGCATGCACATATGAACATCCTACAACAGAGAACCTTCAAAATTCACGTAGCTTAAAAAGCAATACAGAGACGTGAGTACAGGAAAAATAAAATAGATGCCTATATTAATTAGCTTGCTAAAATACATCCACTGACTCTAATGGAGATTCATACTAACCTAACACAGTGAGCCACTAAAGTAGATTCATCAAAAACAAACAGCACGTTGAAAAAATAAAAATATAAATAAAAAAAAAGCAACGGATTCCCGAATCAGTTGCTGCATATAACAAATTCAAAAAAGCGGAAACTCGGAACAAGAAAAGTCGATCCAGGAAATGGAAATTGTAAATTGAGATGGCAAGGGATGGTTAACATAGCTAAAGAACAAATAACTAATTGATTAATCGGTAATTGAAAAGCGAAAGCAATGATAAGAAAATGACATTGGAATGGCGAAAGCAGCTTATTGAGGGAGGGAGAGTTTAAATGCAGAAGAATTGGCGCGATTAAAGTGAGAACTCACGGGGGAGGAAGCAGAAAGCGAAGCGAGTTTCCAAAACATGTGGGAGGAAGGAGAAGGTGGCCGGATCTAGGTGTAAACCCTAATTTTGTGGGGGAGAGATCGAAAAGCAACCACGCCGTGAAGATCGATAGAAGAAAAGACACACACAAAGAGAGAGAAAGAGAAAAGGCCCCAAAATAATCGCTAACGCTAAAGTACAATACAAACCATACAAGAACTACGGAATTGCCACACACACAAACCTATCTCACGCTTCATAATGCTATTGCTAGTTTGCTACTACATTTTTTTATTATCTTTTTTTTTAACTTATGCAATATTTGCGATATGAATAATAATATAATAATATATCATACATCTCATGCTACATGTCATGCACATATACATTTCTCATCAGTGTCACGTTCTCTACTCTCCAACACCTACATCTTAATTTTATTTTTTCTATTTCATTCATAAATCTAAAATATGGGATCCTCGGTCGTGGATTTAAGACTGCCATTCAATTAAAGTGTACTATTCTTCTGATATAGACTGGCTTGAATTATTGTGAAATTTGAAAACATATCTAACTTTTAAATGTCCAAAGTTATGGTATATCATTTCAAGGCCAACAGTGTGCTGAAAATCTGCCCATTTTTGTCTGATTGTTTGAATTAATTAAGACAATGTGTATAGTGTTTGTTTGGTTGAGAATTAATTACAATATTTTCTGGTTTGATTAATTACAACACTTAAGCAGATAATTAATGTGTTTAACTAAAAAGTGAGTACATAAGTAGTATATATAGTAGTAATTTTCAAAAAATAACCCACGTGAAATTAATCAATTATGCATTGGTATAAGTGATAGGAAATTAAATTCTCGATCGAATCACGGTTACCTACCCTAAACACCGGTAAGGTGAGAGGAACTCTATTTTTAGCATCTGGTTATATTTTAGAAGATTAATTTATTACTACGTGTTGAGAAAAATAATATTTAGTCAAATAAAAAATATATATCAATGACTAGGAATTAATTACTAATACTATCAATTAAGACTGTGAAACGCGTTATAATTAAAGTGGTTTTTCTTTTTATAAATTTTTAAATGCATTAATATCAAACTTTTTATTATTTATTAGTATATATTATTGTTAAATTTGTTACTATACTTTCATTTATTTTTTAAATAAGTATACTAGCAAGTTATTTATTTAAAATTGTTAGATTACTTTAAAAAAAACATAGGTTGATAATATATTTGATGAGTAAACATCTAATTTTATCTCTAAAAGATGATAAAGGTGGGTTGATAAACACTTAAAAGATTTTTTTTTGTAGTATTTGAATTCCTAAATTTTAACTTTATTATGCAAAATAGTTCTTCTGTTATACTTAGTTACCAACTCTATTAGTTTCTTAAATAGTCAGGTTAGTATCTTATCTCTCTTTTAGTTAATTGTTTTCTCTTCTAATTACATAATATGGACTGTAATGCAAGATTTTGGTATTTTTCAATTAATAATGAACCCTTTATGATGTGAAAATATTTTGATCATGATGTTCTAGTTAAAATAAAAGGTTATTATTGAATTTCGTAGAGTTTTCTATTGTTGGATTTTTTTGTCTCAATCATTCTTAATTTTTACGTTTATTTTGTCAATAGGTTTAGGATTGTAAACCTTGAATTATTAAATTTTGGGTTTAGCAAAATAAGTGATCATTCTAAAATATTTTAAGTAAGGTTGTGTCAATCAATTGTGAATGTTTTTACTATGTTTAATGAATCACAAACCCATATAGTAAAAGAGGAGAAGAGCTTGGTAGTAATGGTTATCTCTAAGTGGAATACAATAATAGAAGTAAGTGGAAAAAAAATAAGTCATTCAAACGTCACTTCAATTATGTTTAAATCAAATTAAAAATTCACTTTGTTACATATCTAAATTTACTTAATTTACAATTGTGGCATGTCAACCGGAAGAAAAAATACATGTCAATGTAACAATTTATTGTTAATTGATCATGAAATTAACAAAGTTAGTAACTAAATATAACGAAAGAACTAACTTGCATGACAAAGTTAAAATTTTGAGACTTAGATGTCACAAAAAATCTTTAAGCGACCTATTGACCACATCTACCATCTTTCAAGAACCATATTAGATGTTTACTTTTTATTCAATTGAAAATATTTTTTAAAACTTTATTTTTATTTTTTAATAATATTTATAATTTTTTTTAGACATGTCCATACCTTCCCAAAACTTTTAAAAATAATTATTTAATATTTTATTGTAATTGAATATATTATAATGTTCTTCAAAAACAAAATGCATGGTTAATTGTAACACTATAAGTTTTTATGAATTATTGTCTCTTAAGCAATAATTATATGTTGTGGTGTTCGAAGGAGTGGTGTTAAGAGACTTTGGGAGTTAAGGAATTCTTGAGGAATCATTAGGCGTTTTATAATATTTCTCTAGACAGAGGTCCAATTTCATTTTAAGGAGAGAAGAATTTTTTTTTTTTAAGAATTAAGCTTCATAAATTTAATTATTGCAAAACCTTAAAGAGAGGGACTCTGAGATTTTGATTTTACTTTTTCTTCTAGGCTTCTCAAGTACATAAGGATCATCATTGGATTGTTAATTCCAAGCCCAAAAGCTAAGAATCAAGGTAGTGTTATAGTGGTGCTTTAATGATAGCTCAAATGTGTTCCTTTCTTCTTTCTTTGTTTATTTTACTTTGACTTCAAGGTAAGAGAAGCTAAAAAATATTTTTGGTTGATTTTTTTGTTGTATGTTGTGGTATTACACTTAATTTTTGTTTGTGTGTGATCGAGTGATGAAACTATTTTTTTTTTAAGTTTTGGGTGGAAGATGCACATAGTTTGGATCCATTTTTTTCTACAAATTTTTATCATGTTAAAATTCAAATGTTCTTTATTAATTGTAAAATAAATTTACTAGCATTTAATAAATTGAATTTCAACAATTAAATACAAATAATTTTCATAAAAAACTTGAAATATCATAAGAAAATGCATATAATACTAAGAAGATTGATCTGCCTATAATAATATATAGATGTAGATATGATGAATTTCATTTTATTTCACTTTTTTTTCTTTCTTCGGATCCTATGTTTCTTTAACGAATATAGGGAATTGTTATAAAATCTCTATAAAATTTTATTTCTTCTCACTCCTTTTCATATTTACCTTCTCAATTGATCTTCATTTACCTTTCAATTTTGTTTTTCTACTACATTTCTTCAATGGCACATGGGTAATTACTTTAGGTCCTTTACAAACTTTTCTTTACCTTCATTCCTTTTTAGATTTATCTTACCTATCACATCTTCATTCACCTATCGATGGTTTTTCTTCACCATTCATATTCACCATATATAAACATATTTTAATGCACATTGTTAATAATTTTATTGTATTTTATTTTACTTTTTTGTCTTGTCTATAATTTTCTTGTAGTTGAAATATTAAATGAACTTCATCTAAACAAATACAATAAGTTTTACAATTTATTTTTCTCTTTTATATTTTCTTATCAATATTTCAATAAGTTAAATTATGATCATTTAAAAATAGTTAAATTTATTACATCAATTATTTTACTAACTTGATAATACATTGTCTTTTTCAATACATTTTATAACAAAGTATTATCCTCTTATTTATAAAATTTATTGTGATTTTTTTAAAATATCATAAAAAAATTCACTTTGATATTATAATAGAAAAAAAATTGAAATAAGATATAAATATAAGATAAGTAATTTTAAAATATAATAAATAATTCACTTTTTTTTTAATAAAAGCATTATTATATACTAACATTAATTAGTAATAATTTCAAATATCATATACATTAATTATAATAAGTTTGATAAATATATCACTCATTATTATATACCTTAATTTATAAATTTTATCCAATCAAATTTTTTATTATAATTTTAAAATAACAATATTTTCAAATTAAAAAAAAAAAAAAACATGCTAACCTTTTGAAGCATCACGGCCAGTCAAACGGTCAATATTGGGGACACGTGTCAAGTCATGCATTCATAGACGTATTTATATATATTTATGTTATCTGTTAAGTATGACAATCAGGTACGAGAAACCTTAATTATTCCTCATCGAATGTATGGTCATGTATGGATGCATCATGCATGTCTGCTTATTCCATGGTATATATTAAAACAATCTTTTTACCAGTGTTGTCCTAAAATAATGCAACAACGTTATTATATTATTTTTCATTCAGACACTTATTAAATTTATTCTTAAATTTACATTAAAATACATAATTTAGAGAGTGACCTTCGCCTCTCAATTAAATTTTTAATGTTTTAATGTAAATTTCAAGTATTTTTATAATTAGGAAAAATCTTTCTTAACTAACTAAAAATTACTGTTTTATTTTATTTATATGTTAAGTTAATTATCTATTTATCTCTTTAATTTTTTAATTTTTAAATTAAATTTTAATATTTAAAAATTAATAAGTAAAATTATTTTACTCACAGTTTAAAATACTCATTATATATTCAAATGTAATTTATACATTTAACTATATTTGTTTATTATAATTTTTTTATTAAAATATATTTTACATATTAAATTATTAATTTTAAAATATTAATTATATAAAATAATATTTATTTATATAACACATACTAAAATACTTATTAAATAAAATAAAAATGTCTCATAAAGAACACAAAAGGATTTTCCATGGCACATGTTTTCTTCTTAACAACTCTTTTAATTTAAAATTAATATTTTTTTGCTTCAATTTGTATTTTAAATTTGTCTCTCGTTATTTTGTCTCCATTATCATAAGCAAGAAAAAAAAGTGCATTTGCTTAGCTGGGCCATTAATTAAGATTAAAGTGCACTAACAAAAAGCTTAGCGGAAATGTGATTTTAATTTAATTTAAGGAAATAAAGTGTCAAAGTTCAATTCAGTTATCATTCGTTTTGCTCAATCTAATCTCCTTTGCATTTGGATCGAGCTATTTTCTTTAGTGCAATGCAACCCTACAAACGACGGCGAATCCTATATGTACATATTCGCATGAAGAAATTAAATTGCTATGTTAAAATTCATAAACAAAAAAAATATATATGTGTTTAATTTTTATAACATGCAAGATTAATTGTTGAATCTTACAGAACATACAGTTATTATCTATATGTTTCATAAACATA